GAGGCCATGGAAAAAGACTTTCGGACTGCCTCGAAGAGATTCTGGCAAACTGTCAGGCGTCTCAGGAGGGGAAAGTGGTGCTCAACCTGCACTGTGTATAGTGCTGGTGGAGTGCTGCTGACTTCGACTGAGAAAATTCTCAGGCGGTGGAAGGAATACTTCGAGGACCTCCTTAATCCCACTGACACGTCTTCCGAGGAGGAAGCAGAGTCTGGGGATGAGGGTGTGTTTGTTTTTTGCTAAAAATCATTCAACAGCTAATGAAGCTAGTTCTATCCTTTCAGCCATTAATACATATAATGATAATAATAATGATTCACCTTGTTTGCACATTGTTTGTTATAAATATTGCAACAACAAAGATGTGACATATGAAAGCATTAACGGTTACTTGTGCTAATTAAGGATTTCTTTTTGGTTCCATGAGTTGTTGATAGACTGTCGACCTTTTAACACTTTAACTTGAGCCCAGCAGATTTAAATCAACCAAAATCCAGTATTTAACACTTTCAGCCACAGAGGCCGCTGTTTCCACTACTCAACAAATGTTGCTTACTCTTTAAATGGAAATTAACAAGTAAAACATTATACCCAATGAATCTACGTAGAAGTGTGGGTATGTCTGACGCATGTATCTGCACAGTGCAGTATATGCGGGTTGATTGATTTCCACCACAAGAAGCTGCTTTGTCACCCCGCTCTTGTCCTCTCTGGCTCTCACAGCAAGTGTGACAATGTCTGACAAGTGTTAGCAAAAAAGGCAGGAGAAAAATGTGGCAACCAAATGGATAAATGGTGCTATCACTGGTGAAGAGCATCCTACACATTTTAGTGGCATAAAGCTCTTTCAATAAAAGCAAATTCAGTTTATATGGGATGTAGAATGAAAGCCTAGCAACATCCACACCTTTGATTGGTTTTAATGTATTCATGAAGGGAGTTATTTATTGGACAAAGTATTCATGAAACGTCACAAATGTATCCCGCGCCTCCCTCGCTCAGTGAGTGGGTGAAAAAGCTTCAAAGTTTCCTAGGACCTCAAAATGGATGTTTGGCTGTACCACAGAGGACACGGAGAACACAAGCTAAGTGCTTTAGCAGCGGGTGACGCTAACGCACTAGGACAGGCTCAGTGTGGCGTGAAGCAGAAGAGTGCTGTGCGAGGTGACTTATGGGACAATGGGGCCGCTTTTCGCAAATAAAACATGAGGCTTATCCAGAGCCTCTGAACTATACAGGCTCTGCTTCTGTCAGGTGTTTGTGGTTTGAAAGAGAGGGCGGAAAAATCTGATTTAATGGTCCTGAACTGTGTGGATTATCTTGTGGATACAATGAAGGGTAATTTAACAAGACACTTTATTGATGGTAATGCCCAGGAGCCATATTTAAAATCTACTTTTGCACTTTTTTATGTCAATTAATGTCTTATTTCACAGTGTCTTCTGATTGAAACTAAATGATTTTTACAATCAGTAAAACATACAAATGCATATATTCATGGCTGAAACATTTCCTGAATTGGAATTATTCCTTAAAATTCATGTCCGTTAACTTTCTCTATGATTTGCGGTTTAGTAAAAATACAATCTAAACTACAATTTGAAGTTAAATTCTGAACAATGTTTGCAGGACCCCCATCAGGACAGTGGAGATTGTCAGGTTAAATAATGTGTTGAAATATCACAGAAGACAGCTTAAATAAGGGTACATTTGTTAACATGTGAAATATAAAATAGATATGATATAATTAAACTGAGAAGATCACTAGACAGGATGTTGCATTTGCAAGATCTAATATTTTGGATTCATATATTGTACTATATGCTTATCAAAAATGACAGTAGCCCAAGGAGTGCAACCAAAGACATAATAAAAAACAAATCATGCTACACAGAAAAGACCACTTTGAAACTACTGATTTAGTTGAAAGGAAACATTTTTTGACAAATGCATTCATCAATAAAAGCAGGCGGCACTCATCCAGTCCAGAAGAGCAGACTGATTTTCCCATTTTTCTTCAGCTCAGAAAAAACATACTCAAATGTATGAAAGCAATCCACAAATAAAGAATAAAACTAAACATCTCTTTTCAACCATAAATGGCTCAGCACTCAATTATGTAAAGCCTCCATGCACAAAGGTCTATGAGTGCACCTCCAAACAACATCAAGTGTTCTTTTAAAATCAGCCGAAGAGACATATAATAAATAAGACATATTTTGTTTGGTACATCTGCACAAAGTTATCTTTAGCAGTGAAGATGGCTGTGACATAAAAGGTTTAGAGCCTCAATGACTTATTTCTTTTTTGCTTTTTTCTGCTTCTGATTTCTAAGCAATTTATTTTTATTTCTTTAAAATGGTTTGGCAGACTGATGGAATTGATATATGAATTTGATGTAATGAATGATATTTGTAAAAGGGAACATCAGAAAATGATCAGTTCTATTATCTACGTACACACGTCTTTTTTTTTAATGTTTTTTTAATGTTTTTCATTTTTTTAAATGGAAAAGGCTGAATAAATTAATGATCATTCAGCAACACAGTTAACATTTCGTAAGCAGCCAGCGTTACTAAAGAGACAAACAGAACATAATACATGTCATTTTTTTCACATCTTCCAAACTCAAGCATAATCTAGCTGCTAGCTTCTGGTAGAGAAGAGCCACACTTCCCCTTATCTAATGTATACTGTATACTTATCTATATATACTGTAGAACTACATCCTGTGGCAAGGAGCTTCGTCTCAAAATGAGAAACGCATCCTTTAGGAAGGAGATTTGAGTAAAATGTAAATGTCCATTAAATTGTGTAAGTCCACTACCTGTCCAGTTATAAGAATATAAACTGGGTAGCATTTTATTGTAATTCCATCTTTTACATTTATTTTGGTGTCATTTTACTTCTGATGGTATGTTTTTTTGTTTTGCTGGTTTTAACTGATGTGAAGCAGCTCATGAGTTGTATCTTAAAGGATACATTTACTTACTAAGAACAGAACCTTAAAACCCGACTTATCTTTATCTCAGTTTATAGAGCAGACTATAATCCTTAATTTCACTGGTCAGAACCATTACGATAATAACAATCATAGGCTGCTTTATTCAGAGTTTCTCCATTTTTATAAGCATTAAAGTTTGCCTATTTGTGCACAAATTTATGGAGGGCAGCAACAAATTATTATTTTCTCATATTCAGCTAATATGCAAAATTTGAAATTGTCTTCAATTCTTTTTTGAAAAATATAAAGATATTTAAACATTTACAGTCATGCAAAACAAAGAAAAAGAAGCAAATGTGTATATTTTAGGAGAAGAGAAACAGGAAACGATTCCCAGTGTCTTGATCAGAAAATCACTTTGCTGCTGATGTACAGTGCAGAAGGTTCAGACTGAATCTGCAAGCTATAAAATTAGGCCTCCATTGAAATACAGTCGCACGCCGATCACAGTGCGATAAACAGATTGTTTTTCGTTGTTTAAGGGTTTGCACTAATACCTTCTTGCTTGTGTTGAAATGTCTCACCTCTCATTGAGCGACTGGACTCTTCTTTGTCTCCAATATGTGTGTACATGTATTAAGCACTTGGGTTAAGTGTGTGCAGAAACACACTGAAAAAGCAGCTTCACTATTTTTAGTTCAAATCACTAAAGAAGAACAGTGAGAATACGTCGGTCCACCCCCCTGCTCCTCGCCCCGTGGGCTTGATTGTATTCCTATACAAAGTCAGGAAACCAGTTGGCCTCTGAGAGCTGACTTGTTGTGAGGAAACACGCTGTAGGCTGGGCTCACATCCAGTGCTGAGCCTCGATACACAACACAAGCCGTCCCTCCACCCACGCCCCTCTTACATCAACCTGAGCCCAAACAATTAACACACAGTTATTATTTCTTCGTCGTTACGTGATTCTGTTTAGATTAGTAGAGGTTACAACATTTCTATGATGCACATTTATATCACATTTTAAAAAGGCCCTGTTCTCTCATTTATTTTGCAGTTTATTAACTAAATTCACACAAATCAGCAAAATTACATCTCTCTCTCTCTCTTTTTTTAGCACATTTTAAAATATTTTAGGCTGTTCAGCATTATGCTTGCGTCTTGTGATATATTTTAAGAGGAAATTTTAAGTTCTACATTTCTGAGTATTTGTGTACCAGCTATTAAAGGTTAAGGTAAACCATAAATCATCGGTTCAGTTTTGTCATTTTACTCTGATATAGTAGAAATATTCAAAATGATCTAAATTAGAGGAGTTAGATCTCACTATATGTCCTCATTCTGTCATATTCCTAAAATCAGCAGTCAGTGCTGGAATGGGTATTCAGATGTTTTTCAATGGGAAAAGCAGAAATACCACATTTACCTTCATCCTTCAGCAAAAGTGTCAGCAAGAGATAAAAAAAAGGGCATATAAAGATATACTTGACTGTAAATCTGAAATGGCCTCTGCCATCGGGACACACTGAATTATATTTATTATTTCACTTTACAAAACACTTTACTGTATAATGTTCTGTATTTTACTCTTCACCAAAAAACTGTGAATTAAAGACCAAAAGCGCAATAATCTCCTAAATTAGTGTGCAGCAGAATTATACATCCAATTATGTAAAGACCAGAATTTCGCTTAATCGTGAAACACATGTTAAGTAAATATATAACTACAAATTCAACATTACAGTAAAAATCAGCGCTTAATATTTGCTGAAAAGATTTTTTTCTTTTCTTTTTGGGAAAGATCGTAGAAGTTGCAGGCCAAAGAGGAAAAAAAGAACAAACATATGAGTTTAGCATGTAGCTAATTGCCAGTAACACCAACAGTAGTTTAATTTTCGATAAAGTTAACGGGTTTGCGGTCGTTACCATTGGCTGCGAGGGGGTCCCATAGAAACGGTGATGTAGCAGCGCAGGGGCCGGGTCTTCCTGCAACAGCTGAGGCGGATCTGCAGCCTGATTACGGCTCACAGCAGACTCCAACATAATTGATGACCTAATTGAAAACCAGGAGGAGGAGGAGAGACGGGGTGGTGGGGGGAGCTCAGGAGGAGGGAGAGAGAAAGACGCGCTCCAATGAGGAAAAAGTTTACTTGTTCTTCCTCCGCACAGTCCCACAGCTGAGGGCATTGATGTGAGCGCGGAGGCTTTCAGTTTTTTACGCGCACTTCTTCCCCCCATCTCTCACCCTCACACACGGAGCACAAATCCACCTTCTCACCTTTAGTTTAGCGCGTGTCTGTGTTTCTTTTTTCCTTTTCCTCCTCCCTTTTATGAATGATTCTCTCTCGCAGTGCTGCTGTTAAACTATCCTCGGATACTTCGCCGTCCTCGTCCGCACAGACTCACCTCGGCACATCTTCTCTGCTCAAGTTCAAACGCCACCAGGACTTTCACTGCAGCTTCAGGCGCACTTGGGGGAAATATCACTCGACGAGGAAAAACTTGATACTCTGTGCAGCAGCAGCAGTAGCCGACGCGACCGTCAACATGAGTCTGAAAGCTGACGCAGAGCCGAATAACAGCGTTTCCATCGAGGAGGAGGTGAGTTTAGCCAAAGTTGTATTTTTCCTGCGCGCAGGGCTGTGACACGGTCACGTTCACGTTTAATGAAAACTTTGTTTCCGGCCGCACATTCAGACTTCTCCCAAATGATCTTTTACGTTCTTCAAGTCGGCCCCGAAGCGCTTTATGATGAACAAAAATTAAAGGGGCATTGCCGCGCCACCTGAGGAGCCTCACAAAGTTGCACACCCGTTAATATTTTCCAAATGGTTACTTGAACGCGTGCTGCTGTGAGCTTCAACTTTCACTACTACTCGTTTTACACGTTAATATTACCTCTGCAGATTGTTAGCAGCAGCGTGCAAAGACTCGGTTAAAAATGACCCCGTCTGTGTTGTTTTTTTTTCCCTCTTCATATCCTTTGAGATTCTGTAAATTTGTGAGACATGCGAGCATGTCAAATCCAACAATTTGTCTAAAAATTAGGCTTGGAAATTAAATTTGTCTTCGAAATATCCTGTAGACGTTGTTTTTTCTTTGAAAACGCAACTAACTTGTTATCATTTCATTTATTTGTATTTATGCCAGTAAAATAATTCATATTCATAGTGAATAGTGTAGCGTTTTTCTTTTTTGCACCCCCCTTACAAAAATCTGCCATTGTCATTTTTGTCACCATAAAACTAGAACCTAAAAAAAATGTTGCAGTGTGATATTTATTTTCAAAGCCCTCCTTTTTAATTTTTTTTTTAAATTTAAATTATTTTCAGCAGCCACTCTTGTTTCTGTGTGGCCAGCTATATTTCCTCCTTAATGACTCCTTATAGCGAGACACTGAGGGGAGCACCAGGCCTTTTGTTCCTCCTTCTTTGTTCCCATTGTCTTACAACAAAGCCTTGAGTAGCCACTTGACTTTTTTTTTCTCTTTTTTTACAGCCCGTTTTCCTTTAACATTTTTCTTCATAATTAGGAGCAAAGAATACATTTAGAAATTTTTCCCCCTCCTAATTATTTTTTTTTTTTTTTTTTTTTTGGGCATCTGTTGAATCCTGAAAAAGCTTCATTGTCAGTCATTAACAATTCTGCTTGTTTCTGGAAATCAATCTGTGTAAAACTGATTATTGTGAATTTTACAGAAGCCACACAGGGTGCACGGGCTCCCTCGCAGCTCCAGCTCTATATGCTTGCCATCTTGGAGGCACTGTTGGTGAGAAGCTGGAGGATAAATTAAAACATCTCCACTGAGTTGTGTCCAGCTGGGCCAGCTTTCAGTCGCTGTATATGCTGACTTGTAAAGAGCTGAGAATTGCTGCTGTGCGGCACCTGAAAAATGCCGGAGGGCCGACAGGGTTGGGGCCGCGGGTCAGAGGAAGGAAATGGTGTCACGCTGTGCACTGTTGTCCAGTGCTGTTCCTCTGGCAGCCCCATTGTACTGTGGGCCTTCCCACCGGCTGGGAACTAATAGGTCCTCACACCGCCCTGTTCATTTTCCTGCCCACACTGGATTATACACAGCACTAGTTTTCAGTATCTGATCAAGGCAGGTTCAAGGCTTCTTTTTTTTGGGGGGGGGCACATGGCCTTTAAGATCCTCTACATCTTCATGTTCACCATTTTCTGTGTAACATGTTGGAGAAATGTACGGCTGAAACAACGCTGTACTCCCAGTTTTTGCTCATCGATGACTCATTATTCCTGATTCATCATTTTGTAATCCCTTAAATAAAGCAGAGCTCTGTTTGGGTTTCTGGCGATTCCTGACTTTAGGTTCGAGACCCAGCCAAGGGTTCACTTGTTAATTTTCAGAGGTCACAGCATGATTAAGACTAATATAAAAGGGGAAAATTGCAGTACAAAAATGACTTTCGCGCTCATCAGTGGATAATTGTAGGTCTTTGTGACATTTAAAAGTAATGGTGTCGGGAAGAATTGAGGCCTCTTGTTGGCCAGATAAACTGGAAGTTGAGGCCATTGGCCTAAAGTAACATCTACTGAAATGTTTTTTTTTCTTGTAGTACAACTTTACACTGCAATATTTCAGCGTTTTAGCCACTGAAGTAATTTAGGAAAGGTCTGTGAAGCTCTTGCTACTGGAGCTGCTGCTCCAGTAGCAAGACCTATAATTGTTTTAAAGGTCAGTTCAAATTTCCACCATCTGAGCTTTCTTTTGGTATTTGGTAATTATCAAGATTTTTTTTTAAATCTTTTGAGTGATAAGTGGTCTAATAAAACACACAATTGATAATGTGATTAATGTGATCCCCCTCTTTCTTTTTTGTTGTCTGCAGGTACGAACACTGTTTGTCAGTGGCCTACCGGTCGATATCAAGCCACGGGAACTTTACCTTCTCTTCAGACCTTTTAAAGTAAGTTCTATTGTCTCTAATGCAGTTTTAGGTACATGTGATGGAATTTGTGTTGCACGTCGTGAAACTGCACTGGTGCATTTGGGTTATATCAGCTGATTGGATGTGGATTTATCAGTGTACTTAAAAATCAAGGGTAGCTCCTGCGTGCCAGGCTCTGGAAGAGACCTGTGGACACTTTCTATAAAGATTACCTGCATGTAAAAGTGAAGAATCTCTTCAAGTGCCTATGAACAGCCAGACCATACCATGCTTCTTTTTTAGTGTAACTAAGCCCACCCAATTCCTTTCTGCGCTTAATGGAAGTGTAGATATTTGCATATATGGAAATGAGGCCACATTATTGTTCACCCATTGCTGTTTTTTTCCTGACGGGACTCAAGTTCCATAAACACCCCTCCCACCCTTGTCCTAACTAACCAAATTGGAAGTGGTATCCCTCGCACATGGATGGTCTTGTGGAATGTGTAAATGAGTAGCTCTCGCGATTGGCCAACCAATCCTCTCCATGACCCAGCTCGCCCACTGTGTAGGGAAATTTTTTTATTTCCTCTAACATTTGTGCATTGTGAAACCACCGATTGCACTTGTAACACTGCTTTGTTTTTGCCCTTTTTACATCTACAGTAGGCAAACACTGCTCATTGTGGACTGATAGGGTTAATCTGATCTCAGTTCTTACATTCAGGACTACATTTAAATAAAGACTTTGTGTCCTTATACTGGAGCTTCTAAAGAGAAGTGCTGTAACTTCACCTATTCTGCCTCTTTTCTTGCTCTGAATTACTGAAACTGAGTCTGGTTTGGACTGGTGCTAAGGATTTATCATAGCCACTAAAAGTTGTTTAATTTTCCATAGCTGTAAATCAGGTTTAGGAAAGATCCCATTTATCAATAGTTTAGTCAGGCAAAATTCCCCTTCATTTCTTAGTTAAAACAGGAGTAAATTCCTAAACCTTGTGCTGTTTTTTATTATTTTTTTTATTTTACTTAAACTGGCTGTATTTGGAAGTCATGCCCAAGCTGTTATTAAACTAATGCAAAAGAGAATCTTGCATATCTGATAGCACATGCTTGGCCTATTACAGTCCTCGTTTTCCTTTGATTAGCTTTGAAAACAAATCTGACTCAGTATTCTACATGTAGTCAAACTGCAGAAGGCTTCACCTGTTGGAAATGTGCATGTAATTTGATTGTGACAAATGTAAATGAAACTGTCACAGAGTGTGGGATGGTCTGCTACGGAGCTCAAAGTGAAGGTGCACAAAAGCAGACTTCTCTTCATATAGTGAGACATTCATGCTTGACTTCCTGCATGTGACTCCAGGGTGGATAATTGGCTATCTTTCTTCCCCGCAGGGTTATGAAGGGTCACTGATTAAGTTAACATCAAAACAGGTGAGATGCCTTCATCATTGCTTTAATGCCATATTAAATAAACTTGCAGGCTGTGTTGGCACTCATTTTCTTTTTAATTCGACAAGACACAGAAATTCCTACTTACTCCGGATCATTATATTGTGACGGCAAAATAATGAGTGTGATATTTGAAGAAAATAATGGTGCTCGTGTGTGTCAAGTTGTAGCTTTGTCGGCACGTGTTGTCACAGTGCGTGTTTCCTCCCTTCTTTCTCTTCCAGCCTGTTGGGTTTGTAACCTTTGACAGTCGGTCTGGAGCTGAAGCTGCAAAAAATGCACTAAATGTAAGCAACAGCTTGTTTTTACGGTCTTCTGTTTTCCCTCCATTTAATAAAACAAATCGTAAATGTAATTAGATTTGTTCTAACCTTTGCTTTAACCTAAGAGAGTGATTGGGACTTGAAAGTCTTTTGGACCCTTTCTTAAAAATTTCTCGAAGCCAACCCATTTTGTCTTTTATAATTCAATGGCAGGGCCATTTTTGGAAAGAGGCCAGAATCCCGTAGCCTTACGGTAGTTTACTTTGACCTTGATACACATCCTTCTTAGTCCTGTGTAGCTTTCCTCATTTTGCATATCACTGCTTTTACTGTAATACTTGTTCTATAGCCACATGTGTAGTGTTTATATGGACACATCTTCTGTAGTGTAACTCTTATTTTTGTCACTCAGTAGCCCACATTGGCAGTATCTAACACTTCTCTCTCATAGCCTAGCATTCCTTATGAGCATCACCTCTTAGACACATCAGCAGTCACACACACAAACACACACAAACACCAAAATACTACTCACCTGCATGTGGGCACAACGCTTAGGGCACAAGAACACAAGCAGGGTCAAACCACAAACTCAAACACTCAACGTCTCACCACTGGCCCTTTTCTTCATCCCAGTCTCCTCTGAGCTCACGTGACTGATCACCTGCGGTCGCCTGCGCTCTGTTTTTTGTCATGAGGAGAAAGAGATGCAAGCGTGTTTGAAATATTTCAGAAGTGTCCTTCAATCTGCCCTTATTTTGACGTCTCTTTTTGAGTAGTTTTAGTTTAGTGACGTTGGAGCGGGTGTGTTCGCATCCCAGTGACAGTAGTTGGTTCAAGGGAAACTTGAAGGATACATTCTGACTATTTAAGCTCTGCTTAAGGAAAGGGGGCCATGTGAGACTGAGCTACAGCCCCGCGAACTGAGCCCACCTCCCTTACGATACTGTGTCCCTCCCTCCGTCTCTCCCCCCAGGGAATCCGTTTTGACCCTGAAAGTCCCCAGACCCTGCGCTTAGAGTTTGCTAAAGCCAACACGAAGATGGCAAAGAGTAAGCTGATGGCCACACCGAACCCCACAAATATCCACCCTGCTCTAGGAGCACACTTCATTGCACGGGACCCATGTAAGTCTTACCGCTGCACCACTCTAGGCTCTCATCCACTCTCACCCTGACAATGCCAGTACATAGCTGTCCTTGTTGCCCTTTTCATTAAACAAACTTTGGATATTGTGGGATTTTTTTTTTTTTTTAAGGCAAATACCTGTAGGTTAAACTTCTAACAAATGAAGGACTAACTCACCTCTGCATGCATGCGTCATCTCAAGTCTTTTGACAGCGGCTTTGCTTCTGTCCAGCTGGGAAATTCCACCCCCAGGTTTTAGTCAGCAGTCGTCTCTGCGCTCTTTGCCTGAACACCTCAGTGATTCTTTAGGGTTTGAAAACAATTTTTCAGATCCTCTCAGATCATATTTTCCCCACTGATTTTTTTTTTCTTCAAAGGGCAAGAAGGGGAAGCAACAGGGCTAAAAAAAACCAAAAAAAACATCAGTTCACAAAACATTATCAAGCATTTTACACTGTAACACTGCATTGTTGCACTTGCAGCATCCAGACTGTCTCTTATGCTGATCTTTTATACTAGAGCTCCTATTACTTTTGCAAATTGACCCAATGCTAAAGTTAAGTGAGCTAATTTGCAATCAAATTGTAGTTTGTCTGATTCACATAGAAAATGTTTGTTATTTTTTAAAAGAAAACTTTATTACTTCAAGAACAATGATTGTTAAAAATTGGGTCGATTGGGGTTTTTATTTTACATATATATTATTATAAAGCCATGATGAAAGCCATTAGAGGTAGGTCAGTCAGCTCGGTTTCCTTCCACCCTGTGCTTCCTCAGATGATCTGACTGGGGCAGCACTGATCCCAGCGTCACCGGATGCGTGGACTCCTTACCCTCTGTATACCACTGAGCTGACTCCAGGCCTCCCTCACGCAGCCTTCACTTACCCAGCGGCCGCCGCTGCAGCCGCAGCCCTCCACGCCCAGGTGAGGGACCAACCGGTGTGTTTCTTTCTTTCCTTTTTTTCTTTTTAAACATCCCCATCTGTGAATTCTGTTAGATTAATGCCCACACTCTGATACAATGCTGATTATCATAACCTAAAGTTCATGATTCTTGCACAAGTGTTAATTTCAGTTTGTCCATTTAATCTGTAAAATTAAATGTGATCCAAAAATTTAAGACATTGAGATTCAGGATCCAGAACTGTGCTGCTGAAAGCAGAGGTTCAGTTTCTAGAAACAAACCTAGTGGTGGTCTGAGGTAATGCAGTTACAGCATCGGCATGTGTCGCTTAAAAGGATGACAGTATCGAGTCTGAGTTGAGGTTGTCGGTGCAACTTTGTAGTCCTGTCAAACGGTGAGCCAAGATCTTTTTTATAATAAAAAGATGATGTATTAAAATGGGAAATTCTGGGATCAGGATCATATTTGATAATCCCCCACAGGGCAATTTTTAAATTGTCAAAGGTTTAGGTTCTCATCTATGGTTATGCATCAGTGGAGATTTGTGCATTTTGAGTGCAACCTTTAAATACAGCACTCTCTTTAAATCTTCTGTTTTTGATCACGAGAGATACATTTTTGTGGACGTGACTTATAGATTTCTCTGCATTCTGTATTTGCTGGGGGATTAAAGATGCACATAATGAGAACCTGTGATTTGGTTTTCAACATGGAATAACGCTGTAATATTAAACGCATCCATGTGTGAGCCTAAAGTGTGTGTTTGATGCAAGTTTTGCATTTACAGTAGACTGTAGCTGGAGTCTGGTGTTGGGGGGGGGGGGGGGGGGGAGGAATCTGGTTTTTAATCTCAACTCTATTTCTGATGAATGGAGGATGAGGAATCTGTACAGAAATGGGTAGTGTTTACACTGTAAGCTAATTGCACTCTATTTGCTAGAGCAATAGTGCAGCCAGCTACCAGGGAGTAGGCAGGGCTTTTAGTAACAATAGCAATGGAAAATATTTCTTGTGTTGGGTCATTTAAAGTTCATTGTCAGCTAATGCAGTTGTGCAATAGGAGTGCAGGGGAGTGCTAGACTGTAAAGTAGGCAGCTATTACTTTGGCCATCTTGTCACACACAGAGGGCTCAGGAATGTAAGGCATTTGCTTGGAGAAATTGTCGGACCTTATGGCCTTTTCTGGAGGTGCCAACTTACTGTCTATGTTCCTGCTGGAAGATAAGCTGAGTGGGTAGAAACATAAAGGAGGGAAAAGCTTTTAATTGCATTCTGATGAAAGATCCCTAAAATGCCCCGATCCTAATGCTCTTACACTGCCTGGCTTTTCTTGTGTGTGTGTTTTATCCACGACACGGCCAGAAAATCCTCGACATGTCTCCAAACAAGTGTTGATAACTGCAGAACTATGTTGAGCATTCTGGCTGTGCAGTTGTGGCCTATAACAGTTTGTAGAAACAGGAGGCCTCATTTTCTAAGGTTTAGTCACAGGTAAGGAAAGGTACAGACATACAGCTCCTACCCTGTGGAAATGTTTAACACACGGAGAAGTTCACCTCTCCACATTTCCATGCCTGTTAATTACTCCAGGACTTGTCTTGAATGAGCAGCTACGTGACCCACATTCCCATGGCTTCAGTGACTAGGGCTTAAAGGGACACTCGGTCCTCCTAAACCTGCCTATAAAAGTATAATTTCAGAGTATTAATTGTTAATCTGCAGAATTGCAGATTGAAGCACTGAAGCCTGGTTTTGGTCTGGTGTACATGACTGTGTTTGTGTTTCTTTAGATGCGCTGGTACCCTACTCCCTCTGAGACTTCCCAGCCTGGATGGAAGTCCCGGCAGTTTTGTTAGATATTTAGTGAGTAACCTTTGGTCAAACAGTATTTTTAGAATTGTCACCCGTCCCACTTATTGCTGCTAGCCTGATGTCATACATACTGAAACCTGCATAATGACACATCATAGTTTATAAGTAAACACAGCACAATAAAAAAACACAAATACATATGCCTGAATATCTGACTGTTAAAGGACAGGGCTGGCAATATTCTGATTTCTATTGCCAAAATCCAGTAAGACGTTAATGTAGCCAGGACTTCCCGAGCCTTTCTGTAACTTGGCCCCAAATTATTTGTTCTCATTAAAGATGTACATTTTTATAAAAAGGCCTCAAATTTGATGTTTTTATAATGTAAAATGGCTTCCTAAAACACAACTCTTATGCTTTTTGTTTCTTATATATAGTTTTGTGTATTTAAATGAATTTCTTTGCCCACTTAAAGCAGTTTTCATCTGTTTTAAGATGCTTTGCAGGTGTTTGAGCTGAGGATTAACATATTTGGTGCATGAATGGGTGTTTCCAGCAGAGGGGTATGATCGTTGTGAATAGGTGATTATCATCACATTGAACTTTTAGACCAGTGATGTAGTTTTTTTATCATAGGACTCTTGACTGGCTGACACTTTACCATGAACAGATACTGTAGGGTTTGTTTTCCCCTCCTTTTGGGGTCAGTCTGCATTCTGCTGTAAATGTTTACTAATGCATCAAATGTCCATTAGTCCACAGCTGAAATGTCCCCAGCAAATTTGTTTGAGTATACAGGATATACTATCAGTGTGTCTAACAGTTTGGGTAACTGAATCTTTTTTTTTTCCAAATTTTTATTTTTTTAAATGTCCTGTTAAGATGTTTGACTTAAATTTGAACCAGTTGTTTTGGGGCTGAGCACCACAGATGGAAAAGGGCAGTCTGAGTACTCGCACTGTCTTAGATCATTTTGTTTTTTTTAAACTGGGAAGCTACCTGGCATTAAAACTGATAGTCTTGTCTGTCTCCTCCCCTTTTTTTCTTCAGGCCTCTGGAAACCACACCTTTGTCCAGCTGAAGTGAGGTTTGCCAAGCTCTGCATTAATTTAATCAGTTTATTTAATGGACAAATGTGCATTACTATAAGCAAACAGTATTTATATCTCCTTCCGATTGTCTCTGGGGGAGCCTGAGTTAAGACCAGTTTGCTGTCGACAATCTGAGCTTATCCTTGGCAACTATTGTGGTACCATCTTAGCACTTCAAAAAAAAAAAAAACCTCATGCAAAACCTTTTCAAACTCCATGGCTCATAATTGCTGAGGAAAATTGATGCATTGAAGTAACTGTTGTTAAGCTAGTCCTTCCCTGGGTTACCGCTGCTCCTGGGAGGTTTAGAAGCGTTATAAGTCATTGCATGTTAAAGTCTTTTTGGCATGAATTTAGAACGCAGAGTTCTGTGTATCCTAATTTTCTTAGTGTATGTGTTGCCGCTTTTCCTTGGCCTAGACAGCGAAATGTTTTGTTTATCTGTAGAACCTTGGTCTTACCTCTGTGAAAGCTAGGCTGTTGTGTAAATGGCTTATCTCGCATGGACCTTGTGAATGCATCCCTATGTTCTGACAATCCCAGTCCTTATGATCATATCAATGTTTGTCATTATTTGAGTAAAGGAAAGTACAAATATTTTTGTACTTTTTGCATAATGTATATTTATGCATTTTTGTGCAACTAAATAATGATCCTGTATAAGTTGGATGTTTAGTCGTCTCTGGTGTTTTTGGTGTTTTTGAGCCTATAATCCTGTTGAAGTAGTTTTAAAGAAGAAAAAGTGCAATTTGTTTAAAGGGGAAGTGGGTATCTGTCAAAACATGGAAGTATTCTGAACATGGCTTGTGCCATTCTGCTAAAATGAGATTGCTGTAAAATTATCTGTCAGAATGTGAAACTGGACTACAAACAAAGGGTTGCTTTTCGGGGGGTGGGGGCATTTTGAAATGGGAAGCAGGATTAGACTGATGGAGGAATTTAGTTTGTGGTTTAGAACCTGTTTGTCTTTGTATCTGCTGTGCATAAGATGTAAAAAATGATAATCCCATCTTATGAATAAAAAGTGAATGCATATATCTGGACATCTGTCATTTCTCACTGCGTCAAGTTGGTCGCTAAAGTTAAACGCTCCAACGCTATGCTAACTCAAAGAAACATCAGATGTTGGCATCAATAATTCATACCAACTTTTCATTTGTGATGCACCACTGCATTAATATCTGTTTGCGTCATATGTGGAGCTGACCTCCACACTCTGCCCTCATTAGCTGCTAAAATGCTCTGCTCAACCTACCGTGATGGATCCTCCAGGGACTCTTAAGCAACTATCCTCAATATGACCAGCTGCCTAATTGAAGTGGTGCTGGTGGTAACTATTTATATTTGACCATATTGTGCTAATTAAGCGACAGTGCCATGAAAAAGTATTTGGCCTTTGTTTGTTTGGGGTTTTTTGTTTTTTTTGTTTGTTTTTTGGGGGGGGGCACATTTGTCACACTAAATGTTTCAGACCATCAAAGGAAAATTTAATACCAGGTAAAGATGACCCTAATAAATACAAAGTGCCATTCCTAAATGATTTTGAAGTGAAAAAAGCTTTTACAAACATTCCCTGGACATAACTGTCAAATGTGATCGACTCCCATGGTTAAATGAGGATTTTGTTTTATTATTTTCAATGGCCACACCCACGTCAAATTACTGCCAGACCTTTTGAATAAAGTCAAAAATCCCTTAAATTGGAACCTGTCTGATAAAGTGAAGCAGGTTAAAGCAAATCAACACATTATGCTATGATCTAAATGAATGACCAGTAGTCATTCATGCCTATCAGTCTGTAAAGGGTTACAAAGCAGTTTCTAGGCTTTGGGACTCAATGAGCCACAGTAAGGGTAATTATCAACAGATACAGAAAACTGTGGCGAACTGAACATTTTGAAAGGTTTGAGTCCTGTTAGCTCTGGTATAAAATTAGCATATTTTACAAAACATCACAAATGTGGTGGTAGTGTGGCGGTCTGATGCTGCTTTGCCGCTTCCTGAAGGAGAATATCTGGCCATCACTTCAAGCATTGAAGCTTAAGCACACTTGATTTGCAGCAGGACAATGAGTCAAAACACACGGTCCACATGTGGATGGTTCAAAAGTAAGTTCTGGTGTGGCGTAGTCAAAGTCTGGAGTTGAACCTAATGAAATGCCTATTGTGATAGAAAACCCTCCAGTGTGTCTGAATTCTCTAAAGAAAATTGGGCCAAAATTCCTCAAGTGATGTCAAAGACTCATTACCAGTTATCACAAATGTTTTCCTGCAGTTCTTGCTGACAAGGATGGAAGAACCATTTGGGTTTTTCACGTAAGCCCAGGTAAGTTTGTAAAACCTTTTCCCCTTAAATGACTTCAAATCTGCATTTCGTATTTACATCAGTAGTTTTAGTCCAATATTAAAATTTGTTTGATAATCTGAAACATTTTAGTGTGAAAAATATGCAAAAACATTAAATTCCCTGTGTAAATACATGACTGATAGTCCACATTCATATTTAAGTCTTTTTATTTTATGAATTGATTTATAAATTACATTTATATTTAGTTTAATTCCTTCATGACATTTAGTTTAATTCCTCTGGTGACTTTAGAACATTGTCATTTAAAGCTAAAAAAAATTCATACTATCACTATAATGGGTTAAAATGGGTTTGATCTGTTTGGATCTTTAAAAATTCTCTAACTTGTTTTTTTTAAAAGAAAAGTTGATCAAGCAAGTCATTTAATCACCTTGGAAAACATGTATATATTATTATTATCATATTGAGTATTTCTGTGAATTTTCCGAACCTAATCAAAATAAACCAGAGACGGTGACAGTGACTCTAAAACATGTAAAAACCCAAAAGAGCAACAAATGCCTCACAAGAAGCCAATATTCTCCCAAGAATCAGCCATTTGCCCTTCATGGAAATATGGGTCATTTAACATCACTATCTCAGAGTATTTGGATTGACATAAAATCAATAGAGTGCTAAGATGGGGGTGCTACAGATTGAAAGGAACAGTTTCTCTTTCTCTGCTGTTTTCATCGGCTGGGGCCAAATGTAAACCTGAACTATCTGCTCCTTCATCGAGAGGATTCAATATTTTTTCTTCACAGATCTTAATTGGCATTGCAGAAAGGAGAACAGGTACTAACTGAAACACAGTAAATAAATAATAAATGTAAGACTTTTTTTTCTAATTGTGTATCGGATAGAATTCTGTGAAATGTATTCACGTAACAAAACTAACTTGTTCCAGTTTGGTGTTTTTTTTTTGTTTGTTTGTTTTTTTTTAAAAAACAGTTGTATCTCACTGCAGGTCTGTCCTGCCCTCTGCTGGCTCAGCTCCCACATGAGCAGCTGACCTGCAGCAGCTACAGAGACCTCTCGTGGAAGTAAGAGTGTCTACACAGCAGCGTCTTCAGCCAGCAGTGTTCTCATTAGAACTCACCTTTGAATGACTCATTTTTCCCGTGCACTCTCTCTTTCATAGTTTTCAACCACATAATGTTAAATTTCCAGGTGCACTCAGTGCCAGGTGAGTAGTCACTCATTTGGCACAGAGTACATCATGAGTTTGACATACAGCAAACATAATTCTGCTCTATACCAGTATTAACTGCTGTTTGATGTACTTTAAGTGTGCTTTGCTCTATTTTTATATTGTCACATGACTAAGTCTGCTGCTGCATAGACTTTCCACCCTCACAAATCAATACATGCATATGTCATCCATCTTTAAGTGCAAGTAAGTAGTGGTTCCTTGTCTGTGATTACAGTCTCAGAAAGCGTATTTTATTAGAAAAGCCAGCCAGAGTCAGTTAAGTGGACAATTTGAATCCCTTCACAGGTCACCTACAATGCTATTTTGGTCATCTGCTATGTGTACTCTTTGTTATTCTCTTATTGTTGTACGATATAAACTTGTCGCATCCCTCAATCTAAAAACACCCAGTTGCTGTTCATTGCACAACAGAGTGGATCATAACCTAAGCCTCTTTATAAACCACAATCTGCAGGTTCGCAAGTTGATCCTGTTTCGTGGTTTTTTTAATCATATTTGCGATGAAATATACATATATTTTTATGTTAATGTACTCTGTTCTCTGGCAGGTAATAAAACTCTATTCAACTAGTTTTAAGAGGGAAAAAGGTCCCATTTCAAATATACTCACCAGTGCAGTTTTTTTATTCTTAATTTGCATTTGTTAAAGAACTTCATTTGTCATTAGAATAACAGTAACACAGCCTTGAAACCACTTGTGAGTTGACTGTACAAATCAAGCCTCTAAACGAATATGTGTAAAAAATTATGAACAGTTCTGCTGAACATGTTGAATAAAAGCTGATTTTTTAATTTCAGTTGCATCTTGTTTTATTTAAAAGCAACTTTGACAGTGTACAGAGGCAAACTTGTCATTTCATTTGAACTTTTACTTGTACTTTAAGTTTAATTAGCTTCTGTACTTAAAATGGGTGTTTTTCACAGAAGAGGTTTAACAAGTTCATAGAAGCTATTACAAGCAACATTTTTAAGTCCCAGTGATATAGACCTTTTTCTTCTTAAAGCTAGTTGTTGCTGGATTTTGTTTTATTTCACTTAACTAGAATGTTCGTTCTTTCTTTTTTAGTTTTAGCTACCTACAAATGACCTTGATACAGATGAGGAGAGGCCAAAGGAGCAAAGCCCAACTGTGGACCACTGAAACAAAAGACCTTGGAACAATTTTAGCAAATGTTTTTGGCATCTTGCTCATGTCTGATATTATCAACGTGCAGGTGCAGAGTACAAGGTTGCTGTGTTGTTGTAAAGGTTACAGAAATCTGGCGGAGGTTAGCGAAAGTGCACTTCATTCCCATAACTGCAACTGGGTTTGTGATGGTCTGCACTAATCTTTGAGTTAGATCATGAGCTCTTTTTAACCTCTTACAGACTTATGTAACACTGGAACCAGAATTATAAAAGAAAAAAGGTGTCAAAAAAATACTGCAACACTTCACTGAAAATGACAAGATGTCAACAAATGACTTCCTCCAGAGTTCCTTTAATGAAATGACAACCCACCAGCCATAGCATTAAATCCACTGGCAGGTAAAGCGTATAAAATTAATCATCTTGTTTTAATAAAACGCTCTGCTACAAAACCTCAGGTCTTGGAATTTAAGGAGATACAAACCACCCACCTAAATATTGCAACACCAGCAGGGGTTCCCCCAGCAGGACAATGCATCTACCACACAAGGAACACAGCAAGGAGACCCAGGTGCTGACCCAGCTTCCAAACATCTCACATCTCAAGCTGAACAAGCTCGCATGAGACCCCAGGGAACAACTCCAATCTACCGAGGCAACCCACAGGACCCAACCCCAGAGATACCATGTCAATCCCACTAATCACAGAGCTGTTTTGCAGCACAATATTAAGCAGGTGATTTAATGTTAAAGCTCTCAGTTCATATGCCCTACCAAAATTCAAGAGATTTGTCAGGTCATCTCATAAATAGGAGTACAGCAGCATAGTCCCTAAGTGGTAATTCGTTATAATTATACAAAGGAAAAGAGTGGGAGGCTGCGGCTCCAAGTTTAATATTTATTTGTTTTTGTGGTGTGTCACGGTGTCCGGATTCATAGGCTGCATTACAACACGATGTAAAATACCAGAGGAAAGAATTTAAGATCTGCTTTAATGAAACTTGGGTCACAATGATAAAGCATATGAAGCTGTTGAATGAGACACACAATGTGTTTCCTTTCAATTGATTTGAATATTTTCAAAGTAAAGCTCCAATAACCCTGGAATGTTATTGTTTTTATATTGTCTAACATTTGTATAAACGTGTTTTTATGAACATATTTAATAATTATTTCATTGTTTTTATTTGTTTTTGTAATAGTTATTATTAGTCAGGTTATTACTAGAGGTCTTCACAACTGTTTTTAAGTCTTGCCTTTCTTGATAAATAAAGTTTAAAGGCATGGCTCTGAACTGAAGAGTCATATTTCAGTTAAGTTCAGTTTGCACAAAAAAAAACAATTTTTACATTAATTTATAAGAAAAAAAGGTAGTTCACATCCATCTGAAATTATAGTAATATACTATTTTTTTTATTTTATTTTTGTCCTATATGCTGTGATTCCATCGCAGAAAGCACTGAGAGCACTGTGGTTTTAGATATTGGCGCATTTTATTTTATTTTAATGACATAATTCACGTTTGCACGTATAAAACATATTCTGTCTGCTATAATATTGATAAATATCCCTGTAATTTTTAAATAAGCCTCTCTTTAAATTATTGGCCGCAGTAACACGTGATTTTCCCTTCAGCGGCCTGCTCTTTGATGTTGAGCACGTGAACGGAACGAGGCCCTCGAGCACTGTCATTAGCTGGGCACACGTTCACTAAATTATGACTAATTAGCTGTTAGCACGCCTCATAAATATGACCTTTTATTGCAGCCAGCGGTCGTTGTTGTGACATTTCTTTTAGGCTGTCTGTCCACATCATGGCGTTTTCCCTGGTGAGTTGAAACGGCATTAAATGGGTGAAATAAGTCAGTTTTGCGCCACGTCTAACGTTATTATTTGACCGTATGTCCGCCTTATTTGGCCCATTAGTTCCTCCCCGGAACAAAACAAACAAACAAAAATTCACTTTGCAGCATGGTGCACAAGCTTGACCTTTAGCTTTTAGCATGAGTGCTGGGTTAATTGTGTCCCTCTCACGGCCTCCTTCTGCAGAGAAACGAAGCCCGCAGGCCTGAGAGCCCGGACACCGATTCTCCGGCACTGTCCACCTGCAGCAACGCAGACATCTTCCGCAGGATGAACACTATGCTGGGCAACGCTCTGGATTTCACCGGTGTGTGCACCACACCCAACACCAAGGGAAAACCAAACCTGATGTCCGGTAAACCCTCACTCACTCTGCAAGAGTTAAACTTGGGTGGGCTTGAGTGCAACGGCGAAAAACCATTAGTATCCGACACTACTGCAGCCTAAACTTATTTAAAACGAGGCTGTAGCCATGAGGGTTTAAAACGTTTTAGAAATGCTCAAATAGCTAAATATTTAGCAAGTCCGCGCAAATCTGTAGTACTTTTATTAAGCTCTAATAGTCAAGCTGCATTTTCTGCTAACTTTATTTGCCTACACATCAAGTGCTCATTGTGGTCACTTGCAGTCAGGGAAACGTGAAGGCCTTGATTTGGGCCCCAGATGGTATCAACAGCTGTTTTCACTGTTTGATAAAAATCTTTTAATCTTATAGACTAGTTTCCCAAATGGGTTTCCTTTCCAGTGTTTTCATCTTAAATGCAGTTTTTGACCAGGAAACAGCCTGAGATGATATTTATAACAGAAAGCAGGAAATCCTTGTGCAAATGCTAGAAAAGGAAGTGTTTTAGCTATTCAACCGAATTATTTTTCAGTAAACCTAAAGATTGGGCTGTATTAGTAATATAGGTACTGTAGTATTGAGGGATATTACATAAGCAATACTGTAACAATTTGAGTCCCAAAGTGCTTGAATCTCTTTGGAAATTCCCAGTATTTCTCAGTTGTGTGAATTTTGATGCTTTTAGTTTCATGTACAGTGAAGTGTGAGAAAGCAGGTCACATGACCTCTGTCCTCAGTGGTAGCTTCTCCTGCTGCTGTGTTTTGCATTTTCCTTAAAACCACAAAACCATGAAGGAACATGCATGCAGTGTGCAAAACCAATGTGGTGCTCTGTAAGATGAGAGCCTGCGTTGCCTATAATGGAAATCCCCCTTCGACTTTTTAAAGCTGTTGAACCTCCTTCACCTTGTCTTTTTATTCAGGTGCCAGCAGCTGATTCATACTGCATTGCTGGTCTGCAGCACTGCAGTAGTTCTAAGTGGGTTTTTTTTTAAACCACAGGGGTGGTATTTGCCAAGATTTTGGCTCAGGACAGTGCTGGAGTCCTTTCTTTCAGTTAGTTTGCTTAAAGCATGTCTGCTCTTGTGACTTCTGGTCTTGTTTTTAGATGACAATACAATCCTTAGTTTGACATGAGCAGAGCATAAATGTCGCATAGCAAAGGTAAGCTGGGTCTTGATGCACAATGAGCTGAAGTTGTTCTTTGGTCTCTGTCCCATCCACTCCAGCTTAGGCCCTGCTGAATCAGGGGTGTAACTGGCAGCTGGAAGCTTTCCAGGCCTGGGAAGGGAGGAGCTGGTGGTGCAAATCACTGTCCTCAACATCTGATCAGTCAGCTGCTTCAGCTACAGCGAGACACTCCTTGCCCGTTTGTTCAGTGTTGGTGTGCTAAAATAAATTCACAAGCCAGAAACTGAAATGCCCTGAGCATCCTCAAGTCTACAATACTTTAGTTGAAGTCTGCTGAGTCATTTGCTACCATGCTGCCTCCCGCCATGCTTCTGTAGCTCTGCCCCTCTCTCCCTCCCTCCCTCCTGCCTCTGTCAGCTCGCTCAGGGAAACAAGGCTAGACACAGAGTAAGCAGCAGTAACAGCAGCAGCTGTCTTCACACTGACTCGGAGACGTGCTGTGCCTACCAGAGGGGAGTACTTCTATCAACAAGCCAATAGCTCAAACAGGAATTTTTCATTAGTTGTTAGGCAAGGAAGCAGGGAGGTGGGGGAAGCTGATGTCATTAGCAGGGGTGTGCGAGTGCATCAGCAGCCATGTCACATGCTGCTAGGTGGGTCAGTGATGCGGACGGAGATGCATGGCAGTTGCACCGGGCACAGAGGCAGCAGGTTAGCTCCGCCGTCAGCCAGGGTAGGGGAGATGTGTTTATTGAGGGAGTTTATTGTGGTTTCTTTACCAGAAGGGGTTTTGACAAGTCTTGCCTTGATCTTTTCTGTATAATGATGCCGATGGGAGGCTGAAAAACGTTCTTTGTGGCTGTCTAACACTTATCTCGTTTCGCTCTTGCTTAATCTGTGAACTGGATTTTGGCACAGAGTCGGACCTGGCTGCAGTGGGCAGCAGGAGGATGCTTTTCCCAAACTGCGATGCCATGCCTGGCTCTCAGGAGATGTCGTTATCCAGGGACGCGTCGGGTGTCACAGACCTGGGCCTGGGTCTTCAGTCTCTCCGTCTGTCTGGCTGGGACAAACCTTGGAGCAGCCAGGAGGCAGATACACACACCTCCCCATCTCACGTTCAAACCAGCTCACCCTCCAGTAAGTGCCAGACCTTGAACTGTGTGTTATAGGATTCTGTGTTGTTTGGGGGTACCAGTTTCCCTAAAAGTTTTTTCTGGCTCTTACTTTTAAAGAGAAAATTGGAATGGATATAGTAAGATTGTTTTTATTGTGTAGATCTCGTTAATATCAAAATAAGATGGTTGGTTAACAGCAGTCGGTGTGGGAACAGCCTGTAGCGTCACTACGGAGGATGATGTGGCAGTTTTGCTTTACTGCATCCCTAGCAAACACACGAACAGCCAGTGAAGCTACTTTTCTTTCTCAAACTCTCATCATGTTGCCTGAGAGTCAAGTTAAATATTTGTTACCTGTTGATCAAACTTGAGTCAGGGATGTCAGTCAGAAAACTGCAGTAACCCTACATATTCAGCCCAAGTCAAAGCTGATTGACAGATGTACGCCAAGTATTTGTAAATTTTGACATATTTCAGACATGTCTTGTTTAAGACTGTTTTGCCATTTTGGCAGCACTGATAAGGATGCCCCATTTGTCCTGACCCATTTTTAGCACTATAGCTTTGCTGCATGTCCACACCAACCCAGTGTAACTTCATTTAAAGCTTTCCAAACTGGGCCTGCAACAAAGTGTGACAAAGCTTTGAATGCGGCCTACAGCTGAATAATCCCCTTCAGAGCCTCATGTTGACTTACAGGCCATGCCGTACATGCCCGTCACTGTTGCCAGCTGACTCACTTGGGCATCAAGACCAAGCGACTTGTTAATGCTTAAGGAATTGTTGCTTGGCATTTACTGGATTTGTGTTAAACGCTGGCTTCCAATTGATTTGACTTATAAAAAGGCATCTAGCATCTGAGGGGAGAAATTGTTTCATCAGCATTCTGGTTAGAAAATAAAACCAACTGAATGACTCAACAACTTGCACTTGAAGGCTCTGTTGGCAGCCAGCTTGCACATCTGGTATGTTGACCAAGAATATTTTTGGAAACCTCAGTTCACATGGCTACCTTTTTAGTTCTGATCAATGTCTGTCTGTAGATTCAGCACAACTCAATTTAAGATGCCCTTGAAGATGCACCTTTTGAAACTCAAGTTTGCTGTGTCGCTTCATTCCTGACAAATCAATGCAGCTCTTTGGGCACAAATCCCATTTTCTTCAGTTTACTTGAAAAGCTGAAATGGCAAACAAGCTATCGAGTAACCTTACATGGCTACTGGCACAGATCACGCTCTTTTTATACTAATTGTAATTGTTTTTCAGTGTTGGGTCTACTGAACAGTCCCTTCAGTGGCCTCCTTGGAAAGCCCCCAGGCTACCTGCCCCCCGATTCCATGAGCATGACGGCTGACTTTCTGGAGAAGTTTCCCGGTGTTGCTCGCATGGCAAACCGTCTAGACTCGTGCTCCTTTTTGGACTCTCGCTCCAGCAGTCCTGAAGACTCGGAGACCAGTGGATTCAGCTCTGGCTCGGATCACCTGTGTGACATGTTGGTAAGGCAGATTACTTTTATTCTCGAGCTTTGTGTTGAATTGGTGGGAGATGAATATCTCAAACCCCAATCAACCCATTTACTGTTTTACTGTAGCATCCAAATCTACAGGGTGTGGCTGAAAAGATGGGCTTAGAGTGTGATTTGTGTGCATGAACTTAGCTTTCATTTCTCTGCAAGGGTCTTGCACTTAAAGGTATGATAAAGTAATTTAAGGTTATTTAAAGGGGAAACAATGTTGTTCTAAGAAATGTACATCAATGTGTAATTACATCTTCACACAGTTAATGCGTTCTCATAAATCTAAAATTAATCTATTAGAAATGCACAAGATTAGACCGTTTGGGGAAGCCACCATGTTGCCCTGCCATATTGTATACAGTGACTGAGAGAGATCGCCATTTAAACTATAACCTCATCACCTCAAAGCTCATTACCTGAACTGAAGTCTGCTCTAACACACAAACATGCTTATTTCGTCCCAATATTGTAACGGTTGTCAACGATCTGGGTTATGTGTAATAGTCTATTGTCCCAGCCAAATGGCAGCAGCTGGTTATAAGCTAACATTATGCCAGCTAATGTTAGGCTTTTGTGTCCTAAAGTCAGACGTTTTAGATTTACCTCAAAGACAGTTTCCCTAATACTGGAAAAAGCAGTGTTTACAACCAAAACTGATATCTTCAGCTCATCTCAATATTGTCATTGGACAGAAGTGAGCTTTACTGACTCACCAACTCGTATTGGACGCCTTTCAAAGTTTTACAGCCACTTCCAGAGTAAATGGACACTCGGCATATTGACAGCAGATGAATAGTGGCCAGAGCTGTTTTTCCTCCAGCAGCCACTGTAGATAAGATTATGAACTTAAATCTCGAGGGGCACTAAATCGAATTTGGTTGTCTGCAGTATACTGATATCTAGCAATGAGATTTTACACTTTACCCTTTTAAAGATTCTTACTTTCTCAACTGACAGGAGTCTACCTTAACCAACCGTTTGCTTGCTTTTTAACTTTGAGGATTTAAAGGGTTTGACATTATTCTATTGGGGACACGGCAATCGTCAGCTTCGTTGTTCAAGCTTCCATCACCGGGTATTTTCAGTATTAACTTTCTGGCTTTTTCTTGTAAAACATCAGAAATGAGTTTTGGAGATGGATGTCAGAAATTGATCAGTTATATTAAGGCAGGCAAAGTGGAGCTTCATGCTGTAGGGTTTTTATTTTTGTGCCACATTGGCATTTATTAACTTTGAGTTTTGGCAGCAGACAGTGTCGACTGAAAGTTTCTGATTATCAAGTCAGATACTGCACCCAGTCTAAACCCTTCAGTGAATTTCAGTCAGTTTAATTTTCCTTTGACTTTTTATTTTAATACACAGAATGGAGGAAAATATGAGGCCACGTTACACTAACTCATATCTTCTTCTCCAGTCCACTTTGCGGATTTCCCCTCCCCTGCCTTATCTCACGTCAAACGTGCAGAAGGACCTGCTGCGACTGGGCTCTCGCCTGGACCCTCAGGACACTAGCTCTCCTCTGACCCCTCCATCCAGTGCCAGCCCTTCCTCCTTGGCTATTTCCCGTCGCTGGCGTGCTGGCTCTTCATGGCCAGGTGCAGATGTACTTGATCAGCCAGAGGATGCTTTCAGCATTGAGAGGGAGGCCCGCCTGCATAGACAGGCTGCAGGTAGCCACTACTCATTAATCATGAAACTGTTCAAGCATGACCAATCCACAAACCTTGTCTGTCTTGTTTTCAACTCAGCTGTGAATGAGGCGACATTCACCTGGAGTGGACAGCTGCCTCCCCGTAACAATAAAGATCCTCTTTACTCCTGCAAGGTCTTTCTTGGTGGTGTACCCTGGGACATCACAGAAGGTAACTGTGGCTGTAAACCGTCTTTATTTTCAAACACGTTCTTCTGATATTATGGGGGGAAGATTTGAAAAGATTGTCTATTGAAATCCCAGATACAGACATGCTTACATCTGTTTCTGTGGATGCACATAGCAGACTCTTTTATTCCCTTTGGGTTTTTCAGGTTTGGCCCTACTTTAATGTTTCAACACGTGTGGCCCTGATGGTTCTGAACAGTTCACCAACAGTGTAACAGTCAGCTATAGTGTGTTTTACTTGGTACATGCAACCATTTTTATTATAGCTTTACAGAATTGATTAATGCTGACTTGTTTAGTTTGCTAACCAGTATCTTGGCAACAGCTGCAGATGTGTGGCTATAAATGGCAGCCACTGAAAACTAGAACTTGGGACTAATGGCAGCGTGAAATAAACATGCATTCTTTTAATTCAGTTTTAAAAATGACTATACTTAAACCCTTATTTACTGTAGTCTTTTTGGCAGAGATTACAGGCATTGGTTAAAACCTCACTATCGTGGTACATCTCACTGTCACACATTAAAGGTATGCATTGTTATTCCACCCTCACAAACTGATGCTTTATTTCAGCTGGCCTGATCAACACCTTCAGTGGTTATGGTCCTCTGACTGTGGAATGGCCGGGTAAGGATGGAAAGCACCCTCGCTGTCCTCCCAAAGGTAATGTCGCCAAAGGTAACAAAGAGCTGGTAGGCTATTTTTTTTCCCTTCTGGTTTTAAGGTGCCACTGTGGTGAGCATGTAGTAAGGTGGTGAGTAACTGATGGTGATACTGGGCTTTACTGGAGCTTAAAACATGGTGTGTTAGAAGCAGGGGTGGGCTAATGCTCTCAGTAACACTTTGCTAATTAGTTTGTATGAATGAGTTTTGTGGACTTCCAGCGGTGACGTACCCCCACAAGGCCATAAAGTTGTAAACTGGTTTTATGATAGTTTTTCTAAGTCATTTTTTTCCTCAAATTTTCTTAAATCTACATTTCATATGGACCTGGGCTAAAATTGGTCAGCATTTCATCACTGATTTATTAGTCTAATTATACATTACTTCACGCT